TCTCTTGTTCTGTCTCTGTTTTACTGATTATTTATGTCTCATTTTCTTTCTTTTTCTTTCTTTCTCTTTGTGTCGCTTCCTATCAATCTCTTTCTCTCTCTTTGTCTCTCTATGTATAACTGTCTGTTTGTCTGTCTGTCTGTGTGTCTCTCTCTCCATCTCTCTCTCTCTCTCTCTCTCTCTCTCTCTCTCTCTCTCTCTCTCTCTCTCTCTCTCTCTCTCTCTCTCTCTCTCTCTCTCTCTCTCTCTCCCTCCCTCCCTGACTGTACCTAAACACACCCATTCCACCCGTTATATAAATCTCAACATGTCCAAGACGTGTCTAGCTGTCTAACCCAGACACCCAAATCCTTAGAAAAGTTGTGGAAACGGATACGCTGGCTAAGGTAAGTCAGGTTACGACTTAAGAGAAAAGTTTGCGGGCTGGTATTCCAAGAAGTATCATTGGGATTAAGTTGGTGCCTGAATTACGCCTGGAGGTTGGGTACTGTGGTCGTGTGGTGGAGCTTTAGAAGGGAGATTTGGGGTATATTTATTCGTTGATTTCATTGGTTCGGTTGGTGTTTAGTTCTTCTCTTCTTTTCTCCTCTCTTTTTCTTCTCTCTCTCTTTCTTTCTCTATCTGTCCCTGTATTCGTCTTTTTTTTCCACTTCCTTCCTCTCTCTCTTTCCAAATTCCATTCTCCCTCTCCCTCTCCCTCCACCTTTCCCCGATCCTTTTCCTCTCCCTTCTCCAAACCCTCCTCTCCCCCTTCATCTCCCCCACACCCCCCATCCCTATTCCATCTCCCTCCCCCTCCCCTCCCCCCTCCTATCCCTCCCTCCCCATCCCTCCCCATTCCCATCCCTCCTCCACCTCCCTCCCCATCCGACACACCCATACCCCTTTCCCCTCCCCCCCTTATTGCCTCCCCCCCCTCGACTCGAAAGTTCCCCCGCGCCCCCTCCATTACACCGAGTGATTAACACCCTCGCGACTAATGGCTACGGCTCGGATTTGTCTTATGGGCCAAAGAAAAGGGAAAAATGTCAATAACATTTCGCTAATACTCGTCAAAAAGTAGCCATCTTGTTTA